CTATTCTTATTCCGTTGCCTTGACTGTGGAAGACTTTTTTTCTAGTCTCCCCCTAAATCAAAATGAAAAGCGGCTGAAGATGACTACATTGCAAGACCCATCCTAGAAGCTGGTGGGGGAAGGACTTGCGTGAGCACTCTGCCCAGAACAAACAAGAATCTGAGTGGTACTTACTAAAAGAGAGAGGCTGGGCTAAGTGTTTGGCATAAGGGACCTCTCTTGCCTTCGCCTTTATCAGCTGCCATGGGCAGGTGAAGAGACAGAGGGTCAGAGAAGAGCGGCGTGGCTCAGATTACCCAGAGCAGAAGCTGAGAAGCAGGGTCTGAGCTGGGATCTCTGGGGCCTGAGGGTCAGCCCACAGGTGTGTTAATGCACCCCACACAATGTTGTGAGCGTCCTATTGACCAGAATTGGGTCATGTGCACATTCCTGAACCCATCCCAGAGAAAGGAAATTGGCTGGCCCACAGACCCATCGAGGCCTTCCCTGGAGCTGGTGGTGGGCTCACGGTCGGTGGAGGCTGTTAGGACCCCAACAAAGCCAGGGTTCTTCCTGCTGGGTAAGAACCAGCAGTAAGGCCTCCTCCAGTCTTTCCTGAAGGGTGACGTCCAGAATGCTGATGGCATGTGAGGTAATTTTCGGTGGTGAACTTTTTAATAGGTTTTAGATGAACCTTTTTAATAGTTAGTAGTTTGTATAATAGCTATTTTAACCTTTTATTTGTGGCAAGTGATACTGATTTTTCTTTTATGGTAGCTATACAATTTCCTTTTTAAAATAAGCTTGGGGCGCCTAGGTGGCTCAGTCAGTTAAGCGTCTCGGGTCATGATCTCAGGGTCCTGGGATCGGGTCATGATCTCAGGGTCCTGGGATCGAGTCCCGCATTGGGCTCCCTGCTCAGAGGGGAGTCTGCTTCTCCCTCTCCTTCTGCTGCTCCCCCTGCCTGTGTGCGCTCTCTCTCTCATAAATAAATAGATCTTTAAAATAAAATAAAAGGCAAGAGAGATAACTGTATTTTAAAAATAAAATAAGCTTAGATGGCACTATTCTGACCTTTGAAATAATTACACCAAACAATAAAAATCACATAATAAAATAAATAAAATATATGGTCAAATTCTCATACATTCAGGTGGGAGTGTAAAATGGTTAAACCACTTTGGAAAACTCTATCTGGTAGTCTCAACATATGCCTGCCTCAGGACCCAGCAATTTCTATCCCGGGTATGTTCCCTTTAGAAATGTGTCCATGTGTTCACACAAGGTTTATTCACAATAAAAACTACCCCAAATGCCCATCAACCTGGAATGTATAAATAAATCATGGCATATTTACACCATGGAAGACAAAACCACAACGACATATAACAACATGGAGAAAACCAGAGAAGAGACCCAACTGTAAGATTCTATCCATTTACAGTCTCAAATCAGGCAAAGCTAACCTGTAGTTAGAAGTCAGAGTAGTGGTCACCCATGGGGGAAGTGATAGAAAAAGGGTCTGGACAGGGTAGTCCTGGGGAAGCTGGGACCATGGTATTTCTTGCAGTGAGTGCTGGTTAGACTGGTGTGTTTGTTTCATGAACGCTTTAAGCCATGCACTAAACACCTTTGTCATTTCTATATGTATAATATACCTCAAGAGAAAGTTCCAAGGGCATCTGGGTGGCTCAGTTGGTTAAGCATCTGACTTCAGCTCAGGTTATGATCTCAGAGTCCTGGGATCAAGCCCCACGTCAGGCTCCCCACTGAGCAGGGAGTCTTCTTCTCCTTCTCCCTCTCCCTCTGCCCCTCCCCTCTGCTCGTGCCCTCTTTGCCTCTCTCACAAATAAATAAATAAAATGTTTTTTAAAAAAGTTCCAGAAAGTGAAGCACTATAAGGAAAAATATTAGCTAAACAATAGAATCAGTACATTGGCTTATGAAAATGTGCAGGTTTTCAGGAATGACTGAAGCCTGGGAATCTGTCTTATATCATTATTATCATGTCTATTTTTAGTGGTTGGAGTCGAATGAACAGCAAACACCTGTTGTGATAATGTAGACTAAGAAAAGAGGTTTAGGAGAACAGACGGGGCATAAAAAGTACTATTTGCTTAGAGATTATTTCATTTAGCATTTGATGGAAATAAATCTGTCTTCAGTTGCTGGGGTGGCCTCTTAACACCCCCTCTCCCCGGAATAACCTTGGGAAGTCCGGGCTTAGTTGCAGCAAATATGAGGCGTGCCTCCTATCCCTTCACAGTCCATTCCCAGGGCAGGCATTGCTAGTCAATCCCAGCACTCTCATCCATTGATTCCAGATAGAGCCGTACTCCTTTACGATGCAACATTAAGGAGAGTTGTTGCAAACAGTGGCAGCTTGCTCTTGGATGACATCTACTTGACATTCCAGATCCAAACATCTGCCCTGCCTTGATCAGGTCCTACCTCTGCCAGGAGCACACCCAGGAGATCACCATGCCCAGCAGAGAGTGCAGAAGAGGAGACATCCACAGCTTCTGTCTTGGACTAGGTCATACCGCGTGCATGCCCGGACACCTTATCTCTGCTTTCAGCCCTACCTGTCTTCCCGTTACCAGACCCCTTCCTCTCCTGTACAGTATTCACTTCTAGACAGAAGGGCCTCACATATGTTCACCCACATGACCCATGCATCAGACTACTACCAGTTAGTTTTCTGTGTTAACGGAGAGATGGAGCACGGGGAAAAAATAGCAGATTCTTTCTGACTTTGGGATGCCATTCAGGCCTGTAGTCCTTGCATGATATTTGCATAACTAATCATAATTTGATTAGGCTGTGTTTTTGCCTGACCAGTACCCATTCCTTCTTTTCCCTATAATGGCATCTCAATTTTCCTTTAGGGAACTTTTCCTACTGCTAAAGGAAATAATCTCTAATGTGATTTGTATGGAGGACATGGACTAACGCAAGCAATCATGGTGATTGGTTCAGGTATGGGTTGTAAGACCCAGTCGGGCCAATCAGAGCTGGCCTAGATACTGGGGCTGCTCAGGTTGCCAAGGTGATAAGAGGTAATCCAACAGCTATTGAACTCCACCTGAGGAAATCCAATCGTAGAATGAAACCAAATACAAGGGAAAGCAGATCCAACACAAGGCAGGATTCAGAAGCCCTATGATATCATTTCAACACCTGGATCCAGCCATACCTGAAACTGAGGTACACTTCCAGACATTTCTGCTTATGACTACTTGAACTGGATTTCTTTCCCTTGCAACCAAAAGATTCTTGATTAATATGGATTATTAAAATAAGTCTGAGTAGCTTACAAATTGACAATTATTCAGGGAAATGACCTAAAAACATGTGGGATAGGAACAGTATTGCCAGATAAAGCAGATGCAGAAAATACAAGACAGATATTCAATAAATTGATAATAATTCCTACCATAAAGATAGTGAAACCACTATTCTACAGATCCTTTAGGAGGGCAGGGTCCTAAGTGGCCATCTGCTCTACCAGGGCGGTCTCCCCATGAAAACAGGAAATTGACATTAGTCGGCACAAGGTAGCTTAGGGAACCTGTGTTATAGCTTCTCATGATTATCATATTTTCTTCTAAACAGGCACAAGCCATCTGTGTAAAGCTCTGTTCCAGAATTCCGCGAAGAGCTCTTGCTGTCAGACATATCCCATCTGGGCTTTCCAGAATCCATATTATCTTCCCTTTTAGAAAATGGGAGTCCTCGCCCATCTTCAGGCTCCACTTTCTACCCAGCGGTTTCTTCTGGGTCCCTCCTTACTGTCTCCTGAAGAGCCGTGAATTCAATTCTCTCTTCAGAACATCTCTTCCTCCCGTGGGATTTGAAAGAACATTTGTCCTCAGTGGTGAAGGAGGAGTTGCATCAAAGATGAGTGATTCAGTGTTCTTCCTGTTGTATGACCACATGACCCCATCTCCTCCCACGGGGAGTCTGTCTCTGACATCTCATTTTTCCCTCTGAATTTTGTATGTTCTTTTTCTTATAAAATTCACCTGGAGACCTTATTACTTTTTTTTAAAGTAACACATGCATATGATGAAATAAGTTCCAACAGACCCAAAGGATATGCAATTAGAAAGACGCCCCCTCCCTGATCCCCCATCCCCCTGATTCCCATCCTCAGGAACAACCATGCCCATCAGCGTTTCCTCCCAGACGTATTTTGTGCAGACGCCAGGACATATGTGTATACATGTGTGTGTTGATATATATCCTCCCCTGCCTTTTTTATTTTTAGTAATCTCTACACTCAATGTGGAGCTCGAACTCACAGCCCGGAGATCAAGAGTCCCATGCTCCACTGACTGAGCCGGCCAGGCACCCCACCCCACCCCCTGCCTTTTTTTTTTTTTTTTTTTTTGGTATGTGTGGTAAAAGATGCATAACTATAAAATTTACCATTAGTGACTTTGAGTACATTTGCAAACATCCCTATCTAGTTCCAGAACGTTCTTATCACTCCAGAAGGAAACTCACACCCTTTTATCAATTACTCCTCATTCCTCCCCCCAGCTCCATGGATTTACCTATTCTGGACGTTTCCTATAAAATGGAATCATCCAGCATGTGGCTTTTTGTGTCTGGCTTCTTCCACCTAGCATACTGCGTTCAAGTTCATACAGGTTGTAGCAGATATGAATACTCCATTCCTTTTTATGGCTGAAACATATTCCATTGAATGGAGAGACCACATGCTGTTGATCCACTCAGCTGTTGATGGACACTTGGGCTGTTGCTACGTTTTGGCCATAGTGAACAGCGCTGCTGTGGACATTCACGTGCAGGGATTTATTCGAGTCGCTGTTTTCAATGATTCGGGGGTACACCCGGGAGTAGAATTGCTGAGTCAAACGCGTTTAACGTCTTGAACTGCTGTACTGTTTTCCACAGAGGTTGCACTATTTCATATTCCGACCAACGGTGCATGAGGGTCCCAATTTCTCCCCATCCTCGCCAACACTTGTTTTTCTGTTTTCTTTTTTTTTTTACCATATCATTATTTTTAATGTCCAGCATTTACAATACGAGGGCCAGAGCTTTCTCCCCAACTCAAGTTTATAAATTCTCAATTGGCTTGTGAGGCCAATAGGGATACTTCTTCTTGTCTAATTTGGTTTCTGGAAAGACTTCATTCAGGTCCTCAATGGTCATCTGATCAAATGGAATTATGTTCCGCATCTTCTCCAGCTCTTTTTCATATTCCTCAATCCTGGCCTTTGAGAGAGACAAAAACTCGGCACAACTTTTCACATCTTCTTTTTCTTCAGCATCCACCTGAACAGTATATTTATCCTCTGGCACAGGAACCTTCAGGGCATTAAACTTCTTCTCAAAGTCATCTACCAAACCAGCCTTCGCCACATTGGCCTTGTAGTAAGCCCAGTCGATAGCAAGTGGTTTCTCAGGGAGAGTAGCCAACCTGGAGGTAAGGGTCTCATTCCAGGATTTCAGGGAGTTAGCAATGGCCTTCTGGTTTCGGGGTATGATCTCCCCAAAAGCTACCCAGTCAATGGATTTTAGAGCAAGTTTTCGCGCAGCCATCTTGAGATCCTTCACCGACCCCGGCGGCCCAGAGACCACAGCAGCAAGGAACGGAACTGGGTCACCCTGTTTTTCTGTTTTTCTTATAGCCATCCTAATGGATGTGAAGTGGCGTCTCATTGTGGTTTTGATTTTCGTGTCCCTGATGACTAATGATAGCCTTCTTTGTCACATGAACGTAGCCTACTACTTTTTGGGGCCTCCTGAACATTCGCTGAACAATCTATAACTGGAGCTTATCCCTTATCAGTTTTACATTGAATCAGTGATCTTCTCCGAGCTGCAGACTAATCCACGTCCCGGTGGACCCTGACTCACCAGCCAGGCCCCTACTGGCTTCTCACTTCCCATAACGTTGGAATACACACCCCTGGGTGGACGTTCCTCTGATTTTCTTAATTTTCTTCCTTGAGGTCAAGGGTGGCCCTGTCCCCACTAATTTCAGGCTGTAAAAGGCCTTCATCTCGGCCACCCCTCATCAGCAATGAGAACACAATCATTTCCCCACCAACAACAAAAATCAGTGATATGTTTGAAACCTCACTCTATTCCTGGCCCGTAAGCTTCTCTGCTTCCTTCTATCGCCCTCCCCCAGCATTCTCTGAGAGAACTTATTCCACTTTCCAGGAAGCAGATGGGGGCATAGCACAGTCAGTGGCAGCCGGATCCAGCCCGTATGTCATGCCCCTTACCTCCAGGCAACTCCCTTGCTTGTGACTCTGGAACAGAGTGAACAATGGTCCCAGTTTCCCCGGGCTGGAGGGGTTTCCCAGGACGGGGGACCTTTAGTACTAAAACCCAGAAAGTCCCAGACAAACCAGGATGAGTTGGTCACTGTGGTCTGGACAGCCTCCCAGCTTTTGTGTCGGGGACACACTGCCATGAGTCACTTAGGCCTTCTGTCCTCCCCCTGCTGGCCTGGAAGCAAGAGCATAGCTCCCAGGCCTTGGTGGGACCTAAACCCACAACCTCGGCCCTTCATTCCCCTGCCGCACACCCTGGCCTGGGCAGCCGCTGTCCCAAATTTCCCCATTCCTCCCACACAGCCCCAGAGAGGCATTCAGATGAGGGCCCGCAGCGAGGCCAGCCAAGGGCCTGTCCGACGGCAGAGAGAAAGCAAGCTCCCCACCTCGCTGACAAGGCTACCGAGTCAAGGGAAGCAGAGAGAACACTCGGTGTTGGCTATCTTCCGGGGTCTGCATTTTCCATAGACCCCTGTGTTTCTGCCGCACACCTTGGGATGGAAGAAGGTGGGCAGGGCCCAGCAGCTCAAAGGTATCCTCCTGGGTATTTGTGCCCGGGCAGATTGGCCAAGTGAATAACACAGCAAGCTGGGGACAGCTTTGTCGCATCCGTAATCATTCAGAACCGCTCGTTCAGACGAGACCCGGGGCATCGCCTCGGCCTCCTCACACCCCTGATCTGCCAGCACCATAATTAGCTTATTACCAGCCACCTTGTGCTAATAACCTTTCCCTTTATTACTGAGAAAGGAATTAGAGAGAACTAATAGAGCACGGCCAGCAATCCATTTGTAACCTTGCATTTTTTTCCCTGGGTGCCCAGTGAAGACAGAAGTCAGGGGAGTCTCTACGCCCCACCCCCACCGACTCGGTGCTCTGGTTCTTCTCCAACAGTTTCGTGATGTGGTGTCCACAGAGCTTCCCTTTTCGGTGTGTACGTCTCAGGTTCTGCTGGCCCTTAGGCTGCCCACTGAGTGGGGGCAAGAGCAGGGTCTGGGGAGTCATCCCCCAGGGGATGGGGAGGGTGGGGGAAAGGGGACACGGCCATCCCCTGGCCTGGTGTGGCCTCCTGCGGCCTCTTGGCCTGAGCATAGCGGCCAGTTACGGTCCGTGGCAGTCACGTGGCGGCTCAGTCCCCTGGCACATGCTGTCACGTACCCTTGTTCTTGATGGGAACGGCGGCCCCCCCCGCCCACCTCCCACCGTGGGGAAGGAACCTTCCAGCTCCCTGCTTTCCCAGTGCAGAGAGCCCTGCTGATGGCCTGCCCTGATCCCTCGGAGACCTTGGCGAGTCTGCGCCTCCAGCCCCAGGTTCTGCGTGCTCTGTGCTGCTGGAGGCCCGCGAGTCTCCCGGGGGCTGGCGAGGACATCCCCTGGCACAGCTGTCTGGCAGCACCAGCTGGTACAGGGACGGACGCCTGGCCCAAGGCAGGGCTGCCGGGGCCCACGGCTCCCTGTGGGACCAGGCCAAGGCCAGGACCTAACCTAACACTGCCCCTTCCCTGACTCGCCTCCCCACCCCCTCCCCAGCTGTGCCGGGAGCACGACCTTAGCAATAAATCACCCCACAGAAATGCCACCTCAGAGTCTGCCTCCAAGGAGACCGACCCAAGACACCCATTCTGAGCTGGGACAGGCCCCGCCACCTCATTCTGGCCAGTGGACGTGAGGGACGAGTCTGGGGAAGGTTCCCCCCCCCCGATGAACACAACTGTGTGAAGAAGCGGGGCCATGCTGCATTTTGAGCTCAGGACGGGCGCCACGCGGAGGGGGGGACGGGTCTGGGGTCCCCACTGATGCCACTGAGCTGGCCACCAACCCTGCGGCCCCCTGCCCGTATCTCCACCTTTGTTTTTGTGAGAGTACACTGGCCCCTTCTTGTGGAATCTTCTAGACAGACGCTCACTGACCAACCTCCCCCAACACCCCTTCCATCGCCGGGGCTGGCCCCTAATGACCCCGTCCGGTGCGTGCGTTAGACTTGTGGAGAGACGTTCACCCTCATTCTGACCAACAGCACGTGAAAGGACATCTCCTGGGGGCTCCGCCGGGCCCCAGGAGCATGCCACCCCCGGCCTCCCCAGCCAACGGAGCCAGAGTCTGGCCACCCCGTGGGGGTGGGGGCCTGGACCTCTTGTCATGTGTGATGGTACATTTTCTCATTGCCGAAGCAGGGGGGTGACCAGGGCCAGAGTCAGACGGGCCTCCCACCGGCTCGCTGTGCACCTTTGAGCAAGTAACGCTGCCTCTCTGCAGGGCGGTCTCTCCCTGGGGGAAATGGAGGCGATGCACCTGCGGGGCAGGTAAGTCCAGTGAGAAACGGCAAGTAGAACGAGTGCCGTGCACACGTTAGCAGCACCCGTCACTGCGGGCCTGTCACGGGAACCCTAACGGTGGCCCTTGGGACCCGAGTGTTGTGTGGAGGTAACAAATAAGGAAAGAGGAAAGAAAGAGGGGAGGGAAAGAAGGAGGAGGGAGGACGTGGCCTCCACCCACCGGTGATTCTGACCTGCTCCTTATTTTTGTCGAGTTTCACAAGGGTTCAGCAACCCCGCCCCGCTTGATTCATTTGGCTTATTATCAATATATGATATATGAGTAGCAATATTTTAAACACCTACGGCCCAAGAACAGAGAATTCTATCGTGAACACCCCTACGCACCCCCAGATTGACCGAAGGCCTCCCTTTGCCAAAACTGCTTCAGACGCATTGGAAGCCAATCAAATGTTACAGACGCAGACGAAGCTCGCTGGCCCCCCTGCCCCTCAGGTGTCCCCCTCCCCGGCGCTAAGCACCATCCTGAAGTTTCCGTGTGAACTGCTCCCGCTCCAGCCAAGGGTACTTCTACCCCACTTGAATGCAGTCACGTACCGTGTGTTCTAAAACTTTACCTAAATAGCATCTTATTGCGTGAATTATTTTGTAATTAACATTTCCCGTTCCTTACTATGTTTTTGCAGTAAGCCGTGTTGATAAACTTGGATCAAGTTCCTTCGTTTCAACCGCCATGGCGTATCCTATTAGTTGGGCACAGCTACAGTATTTTTTTTAAGTCACCCTTTGACAGACGGGCGGGTGCGTTCGGTTTTCCCCAATTACAAACAAGGCTACAGAGAAAAATCCTATGCATGCTTCTTGAGGCTCAAGAGTTCTCTAGAGCTCAACGCCCCCTTTGAAGCCAAATGTTTGGACTGTCACCTCCACGATCCTGAAATGTGACTCATGACTGATAGGAGCTACCTACATATGGTACGTACCAAAAATAAAATATACACACACACGATGCCCTGTCTGAAATATCAAGGAAAGTGATTCCTATTAAAATAATACGTATTTCCATAGGTCAATGCTCAAACACAGCCACCCCGGTTGGCCCCAGCAGTGGGTTTGCCCCTGTTTGGGGAATCACTCTGAAAGCCCAGGGATTGTGCAGACTCACACAGGTGTGTGGGTGGTGGTGACTCACTTATCACTAGTGGCGATGTCATCGGCCATGTGGCTTGCCAGAGGGGCACCCAACTCTTGGCACGGCTCTGAACAAAACAGACCATGCTCGCCCCTTGATTTCCACCCTCATTTGATTCCTGGAAAACTCCATGCCCACCGAAAACCTTGTCAAAACTACTTTCAGTTTTTTTGGACAATAGAGTTAGGCTCTAGAACCAGTTTGTGATAGACAGGGTCTTCACCAAAAATGCAGGAGGCGGGACCATTCCTTCTTTTAGGGGACGATCCCTGCATCGTGGGAAGATTAGCATCTCTCTTCCCCATCCAGGAAAAGCCCTCCGCACACCCCCCGGTTACTGCAAATCCCAAAAGGCATCACACTGGGGCCATTAAATCTCCAGATGCCAGGCTCACAGGACAGAGGTGAAGTGCTGCTCTCTGGGACATTTCTCCAGGGCCCCGAGGAGGGGGCAGAGTTCATGATAATGGCCAGAAAGAGTCCTGGGCTTGGACTCCTCAAGACCCGTGCCAAGACCAGCCAGGCCCTCAGAGGGCCAGGACTGGGACACCATCTTATAGAATGGGGCCATGTTTCAAGACACTTATGTATTGAGGACTGTTCTGCAAACTACAAATGAGCTAGTGGACGGGCACTTTTAAGAGTCTTTGTTTCTTTTTAACTGGGGTACAGCCTATGTGCACAAAAATGCACAATGAATTTTTACATATGTACACACGTCTCTCCAGTAAAGACATACAAGACTTCTAGCACCCTGGGAGATGCCCTTGGTGACCTACCCCACCCCCACCCCCAGCAACCACTGTTGTGATTTCTGTCACCCTAGCTTAGATGTGCCTGTTCTAGAGTTTCAT